ACTCTTGGAGAGTTACAATTTCCCTGACTTTCGGTTTCTCTTACTTAAAATGAGGGGCTGAGGTAAGATGGTCCCTAAGGCCCTTTCCATTACTGTAATTATACAGTTCTTGGAATTTTGCCCAGAATAGTAAACAGTAGCAGAAGAAATTCTTGAGCTTGAGAATCAGATAGAGCTGAATTCTAATGACTGTTCTAGTTCTGATGCCAGTTCCAGTGTGAATCAGCCACTGTAGCTGCACTCTTGGGTGCTCTGAGTCTCTTCCTCCTGAAAACTGAAAACCTGACAGGGGTATGAGTCAGCTTATACCTGAAAACGCCCAACTCTGCGCCTGGCACAGTGTAGATGTGGGGTAAAGATTGATTTCCTCCTTCCCTTCTTTTCTTCCTCCTTCCTCCCTTTGTTACCAAAAAGAGAGTGTTAGTCTGACTCCCCAACTAGTGCTGGGGTGAAACCTTCTTTGCAGACCCTTTCTTGGCTATTTTACCAGAGAACTGCCTTCCACCAGCTATGTGCAGTTTTACCTCAAAGCCGAAGTCTTCCTGGCTTTGAGGGAACCACAAATGACCGGGAGACCCCTGGCAGCAGGTCTATAGTTGCTTTTCCTTCTGGACCCAACCCCACGCCAAACGCTGCACCCAAGAACTGTGTGTAAAGGGTGAGAACCCACCCCATCTTCCCTGCACAAATGAGCCTCAAACACATTTGCTTATTATCTTCAAGGGATATAGTGAATCAGACTGATTTTAGTCATATTTATACAGTGCTGTACCTTTGCAATGCCAAGAACTTAAACCAAGGCTCCCTGATGGTTAAAATACCACAATTCAAACTCAAAGACAACGTGGGGCTCTGTAAGCTAGTTCCTCCCACCCTGATCCCAATCACTGAGTTCATCAAGATTCTCAGCAGGAAGAGACAAGGAGTAGTCCCCTCTCCTGCAGTGAATACTGGAATGTTACTCTCCTGGTAGCTATTGCCCCCATCCCTCTCCTGCAGATCTCAGCTACGGAGAAAATGAAAAAGAATAAGGTTGGGATCCCCTGGCTTATAAAATTTGAATGTCACTTGGACCTGACGTGACGTTTGTTTTTTAGCTCAAAATTGCACAACTTTTCAAGATCAAGCAGTTCTGTAGATCCTATTCCAGCACTGTGCAATGATTTTAAACTTGGGAATTTGTCTGGGGAGAAGTAGGGATATTATCCAATCAGTCCTTGAGGAGGCACCATTTAGAGACCTTTTAATTTCCTGAAGAAGTCTGAAAGTGTAAGTATGAATAAATATACATAAATATTAATTGAGTCAGTACAGAGTTCTACATTTATGCCTGACATATGAAGGCACAAACTGGCTGAAGTTCGGTTGTGTTACTTTCCCTCCATTTAAAAAATCCAGGAGTTCTTGCCGGTTTGTATGCACTTGGAGAGCTATCTCTGCTCCATTCTTTTGCTGGCGGGGTTCAGCAAAGCAGACAAGGAAGCAAGCTGGGTAGGCAGATGTGTACCTTATCTCTGGTACTCTTTAGATAGAGTAATTTTTAAGGAAGCTATTATTAAATGCCTACTGTGTGTTAAGCACAATTATAGGGTAGGTTGATAAAAGATGAATGAGACCATTTCTGACCTCTTGTTGATAGAAAGCTGCTTCTAATTTACAATCTATGACTACTCCACATGCAGCAAATTGTTTTTGTGTTCCAATGAATCCATCATATCTCTGCAAGGTCAAATTTGAGGCTTTAAGTTACCAAGATGCCTGCTAGACATAGAAAAAGTAAAAACAAGCAAGAAAAGGAACAAAATAACCACAATGCTGACCCTGAAGAGCAGTCACCTCTGAAATGGATACTTGAGAAGGTCTTTGATTTAAAACTGGTCTTTGCTCCTTTAAGCAGCTTCCATGGCTGTGGCTATCTCTGCCAAATGGATGATTGATCACCAATGGAAACTTAATTACCAATTAATCGTTACTATTGAATTGCTGGTCCGTTTCAGTTATCTGCCACTCCTCAGAGCAATCCATAGTACTTCAGTGAAGAAAAGCTTCTAATTAAATAGTGAAATAGCATTCATTAATATATCAAAATAAATGTCTAGAACCATAACATTTCATTAATTACAAGAGTGAGTAAGTTTAGCGTCTCTGAGACTCTTTGTTTGTTAATTTATTGCCACTTATAATGAGGAAATATTCTGTGTATTCCATGTGACAGAGTTTTGATATTAAGGAGTAAGGCTGTTTTACATAAAGATACCTAAATTTTCTATTTCACTTTGTTGTTCAACACTAAGTCCAAAATATACTATGGCAGCTTTCTGATTATTATAAATACAATAAGATGATAATAGAGAATTTCTAATCTTCAAATCATTTTCCTTAACTTGAAACTACATACAAAAATATGTAAAAATAAACTTTTTCTTTTTCTTCCAAGTTAGATGACAGTTCCTTATTATATCCTCTTGCCTCCTGTTTTCTCCCCCAAATTTACCAATTTCCAGATATCTTACAAGTACAGTCAGGAGCTGAATGCTCTATTTGTTTCTTATTATGAACTCTTAACTACACCTATTCCTGGAAGAAAAAAAGAGCTTTAGCAATATTAGTTTATATCTCCACACTCGTCCCCCATCTACTCATAATTGATTCACTTACTTGTTCATTCATTCAATATTTATTGAGGATCTGTGTGTGATATTTCACCTACTACTAACAATACAGCGGTAAAAAGTTTGGTCTCTGATGGCAGGGACATCAATCATGTAATCCACAATCAAATAGTAGTTGCAGCTATGAGTGCTATGACACATAAGTAAAATGTATTATGACAGTCGATAATAGAAGCATTTGACCTAGCTATTAAGATCAGAATAGGCCTCCTAAGGAAATGATGACACACTACAATCTGAAGGAGACATAGTGGTTAATAGTGGAAGGATCACTCTAGTAACATGTACAAAGGCCCTATAATAGGAGGACACATGGCATAACTGAGAGAATGCCAACTCACTGTAGCACTGAGTGCAAAGGAGGGCACCATGAGGATGAATTTGGAATGTTCAGTAGGATCCAGATGATACTGAGCTCACCAGGCCATGTTAAAAGTTTTTGTCTTTTATCCTGAGAGCAATAGGAAGACATTGTTTTAAACAGAGTAACATGACAAAATTTGTGTTTTGGGGGGGGAAAAATCTGTCTGCAGTGTAGAGAATGGATGAGATCAGATATGGCAGATCTAATTTGGAAGCCATTGTAGTAGTTCAGGAATTGGAAGGGGTGGTTTGGATGAGGGTCAGAGTGTGGAGATAGAGAAAACTGGATGGATCCAGGAGATATTTAGAAAGAACAATTGATGAAAATTGGTGATGGACTGTACATGGGGAGGAATCAGGGATGGCACTAGATTTATGACTTGTGCCTCTGGAGAAATAGTAGAGCCATTCACTGGGGGGTGTTGCATCATCACCTCAGGCATGGGGTTAGAATGTGATTTCTACTTTGGACATGTTGAGCCTGAGGTCTTGGAGACATCTGAGACATCTGTATTTCACAGGCAATTTGATAAATGCACAGTCAGTGCAGAGGAGAGTGTAGGGTGAAGGTACAAATGTGTATGTCAACTGAATAGTAATAGACATCACAGGAGAGACTGAGGCTGCCAAGGGAGAGTGTGAAGGGTGAGGAGAGGAGCAGCCTTCAAATGGAGCCTTGAGAACCCCTGACACTGATAGCCAGCACAGATGGTCCTGCTCAAGGACTCAGTGTTGCAATCTGAGAAGTAGAAGGAAAGGCAGGTGTCAAGGTGAAGGAAGAGATCCATGGTGCTTAACTGACATATATTACTGAACAATATATTTTTTTTTAAATCTGAAGCTGAGGGATGCCTGGGTGGCTCAGTTGGTTAAGCCGTTGCCTTAGGCTCAGGTCATGATCCCAGAGTCCTGGGATCAAGTCCTGCATTGGGATCCTTCCTCAGTGGGGAGCCTGCTTCTCTCTCTGCCTCTGCCTGCCACTCTGCCTGCTTGTGCTCTCTCTCTCTCTCTCCCTCTCTCTCTTTCTCTCTCTCTCTGACAAATAAATAAATAAAATCTTTTTAAAATAATAATAAAAAATAAAAAATAAATAAAAATAAAAATCTGAAGCTGAGCCTAAAAGAAAAATACCTGACTGAGTGACAATTGCCTTTTTTGTAGGTGGGTAACAATGGCATTTGGTACACAGCTTTTACATTCTTTTGAGCCTTTCACTGTAATGGTGACAAATACTTCAGTGGTATTCTCTAGGTCCTGGGTTCTATGGTAAGAGAGTTCTATAAATTAGCTCATGTAACATTTACAACAGCTCTGCAAAGTAGGCACATCTCTATAATTCTCTCGATTTTACTTGTGGAATGGATAACCTGAATTTCACAAACACAGAGAGATTATAGGGACTATGTAAGGTAAATAAGCATGCAAGACTAGGATTTGATGCGGGAACTTGAGTTTGGGGTCTGTACTCTACTGCCTCCCTGTGAATTATCTATCAGCTATCCCCCCCTACCACCTCATTGCACACAAATGCACAAAGGCACACATTTTAAGAAATATAATGTATTACGTATGACTCTAACATTTATTCCAGTTGAAATCCATCTTACTGGACGTGTCTGCTAGAAGCATTACCTTCACGCCCAGGTCTGAGACATTTATAGTTTTGTTTTTCTTTTACTAGCACCACTGAGTTCCATATTTATGTATGCACATACTCAACCAGAGTGCAAACCGCGATAGTAAGGTTTACCCCAGTTAACATATCTGTACACACATGGCAGCACCTAGCAGTACTGGAGCCATGTAGGTCACTAGAGTAATTTCTAGCCCCTGTCTGGGGCACTCTGTTTATTTGTACAGTTATCCTTGCCATTCTCCGAGCTCTGAAAAGACACACTGAGAAGTTTTTTACCAGCTTGTTCGCATCTGGACTCACATTGATTCTATGACCATATTTTATTCCAGACACTTTTGAGAAATTCATCCGGCTGTGAAGTGCGCAGTGATGAATATCGAACGGAGTTTACCACAGCTTTGCAGCGTGTTGACTTATTCATGGGCCAATTCAACCAAGTCCTCTTAACATCTATATCTACCTTCATTAAAGGAGAACTCACCATTGCTAATCTTGGGACGTCAGAGGGTCGCTTCATGCAGGTAAATGTTTCTAGGAGTGGCTGTGTCTCTTTTACCTGGTATGGCACAATTAGTTTGGTGTGGTTTTTTGTTGTTGTTGTTGTTGTTTTTACAGTAAGGCATTTGGAAATATTATAAAGTGAAAATTACAGTAAAAGCTAGAGACAAACTGAGAACAAAACAATGAAGCCGGGTCCACTCTTTATGAAGTTTATGGCCTATTTTTATTAAGTTCTTGAAGCTTTCAGCTTAAATGTGGTTAAAAGTTTTCTTGCCCAGAATGGTTTGGGATTTTGTTTGTTGTTGTTATTTTCCATTCATTATTTCCATCACATGATTGGAATAAAATGAAACAATTAAAGCACTTCCAGGCGATGTTTTCCTATTTCAAGGGAAGCTACGGATCAAAGGAGAGCTATTGTGTGAACCGTGTGTCTCCATGAGAAGAAACATTCACATCATTGAGAAATATTGGCAGGAGTTAGAAAAGGACGTTATCATCAAGATCCTATTGTAACTCCAGCTCTCCTGATTCTGCAAAACGATGTAGTCAGACACAAAGAAGTTCAAATTCTGGGGGGAAAAATACAGATTTTATTAAGAAATGCTTTTAATGGATAGCAACATACTTCCATACAATAAAAATTCATATTTCAGACTTGCAGTTATCGTGTTCCCTAGATACAAGAATCAGCACTTCGCAGAAATTAAAATGTTCTTGTGTTGAATCTCTTTGACTGCTTTAATAATTATTGGGTAGTGCTTTCAACATGAGTTCTTCAGTAGGTTCTTTATTAATGCACAATGACCATAGCATCCATGGAAATGTTGGCTTTCTACAAATGCTAGAAATTTCTTCTAAAGAGAGTCTTATTCCAAAATCATCTGATCTAATTAACATCCTAGTCAGACAGTGACTTCTAGAAAACCAGTTGAGGACAATGATGTTTTCCTATGACTTGGCCATCTGCACATCTTCTATCTGTATTCTATTATAATACATATTTTTTTTAATTACCACTGTTTTTATAGTATATGGATACTGGTTATTGCCATAATTTAAATCATGCTTTTCTTGTACTAGTTGGGCACAGTGGGATTTTTTTCAAGGTCATAAAACATCTAAGTAAAACCTTCCTAGCTCAGGGGTGCCTGGGTGGCTCAGTGGGTTAAAGCTCGGGTCATGATCCCAGAGTCCTGGGATTGAGCCCCACATCAGGCTCTCTGTTCAGCGGGGAGCCTGCTTCCCCCTCTCTCTCTGCCTGCCTCTCTGCCTGCTTGTGATCTCTGTCTGTCAAATAAATAAATAAATAATCTAAAAAAAAAAAACCTTCCTAGCTCAAAACTAATCATATAGATCCTATTATCTAAATGCTCCCACACTTGGTCTCCCATCCTCCCACTGCTTCATTATTATACTTTCTCCCCACTCCTCTCTCTCTCCCAGCCCAGTGTTCTTATTTACCTACCTCAAACCATTTCGTTCTGTCTCAACTCCTTAAAATCTGAAGGCTGGATATCTAGTCCCCCCCTATACTCATGAGCATTCTAAAGTATTTGAAATATAGTTGTATCAATTATCCTTGTAAAATACATACTGTTATTTTCAATATGTTTTTAATTGACATTTATAATATTCTCTAGAATTCTAAGAAATTTGAAGGGGCATGAGAGAATCTGGCATCTGTTGAATTCTTAATGTGTTCACTATATTGACTTTTTATCTTTACTTTTGCTTTTTTTCTAAATTGTTTATTACCTCATCCACCCAGTTTCATATTAATAAGCTTTCTATAGTCACTTTAGGTCTTTCATTCTTTTACATCAGAAGGTTCTTGGCCTATTTCCAGATTCTAAAGTTGTAATAAAATCCCATTTTTAGGTAGATTTCTCTAATAAATGAGTAAATTCTGCTGTGTGACAGATTCTACCGCCTAAGTGCTATGTCGTGCATCAGTCTCATTGTAACAGAAATGCTGTGACAAGTGTTTTATTCTTGTCTCCCAGCATTTTCATAAAAGAAGCTATATTATGCCCATTATCTGTGCATCTGAAACATTAAAGATGAAAATAAGTAAGTAGATACTTATTTTATGTGAAGTGCTGATATCACTGATCTTTTTTTTTAAACCACATGGTTCTTAATTCATCAGATATATATTGGGAACTTACTAACTTTGCTCTACTAGGCAAATAAGGAAAGCAAAGGAAGCAGTGACACAGAACCTGCCTTTAAGGAACTAAAGTTTAATTTTTTAAAAAAGGGTTTTATTTATTTGAGGGAGTGAGCAAGAGAGAGCACAAGACAGGGGAGGGGCAGAGGGAAAGGGAGGAGCAGACTGCCCACTGAGCGGGGAGCCTATTATGGGATTGGATCCCTGGACCCCGGGATCATGACTTAGCTGAAGGCAGACACTTAACCACTGAGCCACCCAGGAGCCCCTGAAACTTTAGTATGAGAGATAAAAACCTGTACCGGATACCAAGATAGCAAAAGAAAAAGACACACAGACAAAGGGCTGTTGAGACCCACATAGGATTCATTTCTCTGACACTTGTCCAAGAGAATTCCATTCCCTTAAATTTTATGTAAATAAACTCAAGGCACTTGAAGGATCAAACAATCAACATCACTAAAATCCAGTTTGTTTACAGCAAATAATGTTGGGGGAGGAGTCAGTCATGGCATGCAGCAAAGACCTTCTAGCTTAAGCTTGCCAAGCAGTCCTACCAAGTTCTATAAATGTTTTGACTGCTATAAAGTGCTAAATCTGTGGACAGGACTAAGTTCCTAAAATTCGTGTTTTAATAATACTGTGGAGTTTCTGTTATAAAATAGAATGAACATAATTTTTTTTCCAAAGACAGCAGTCATACATGAAAAGGAACAGAAAAATGATTTTTACTTCCTTCCTACCCTGAAGCCTAAAGTCAAAGTTGCTTTGCAAATGTTTTCTCTCAAGAGTTTGCAGCTGTTTCTGCCTTTCCTATTGTGCTTATGTTCAGCTCTGGCTGGGAATACAAGCTTCAGCCCCAGCTGTCGGGTGTAAAGTGAATCAGGTATTTCACAGTGGTTACTTGGTTAGAAAGAATTATATTGTTTAGCTAACAACGTTCTATGTATGGCAGAAAAGACATGTTTGACATGTTTCTAACATTTAAACATGTGTAACTTATCTCATACAGGTGCAACACCATCTAAATATACTGATGTGTACATGTATTAGAGTTTATCTGTAGCTGCAGCTCAACATAGATGCAGATTTCAAAACCAGTTTTTATTTATGTGACCACCCTCTTGGGATGCTTTGAAGTAAAATAATATGATAAGTCCTATTCAAGATAGTATAAGTAAACAGTGAGAACAGGGCTTCTTTCAAATTTTAAAGGGGGAGGGGATGTTGAAAAGAACAAAGCTCTGGAACACTAGTGCTGTGTGCAGGGCTACGTGGGAGAGGGAACACAGTTACTCATGAAGATCACAGGACTAATCACAGGGATTGCCCACGTCTCCCCTTCTGAGCTCCTCATCTAATCAACTTGCAAAAACAATGCCTGATATATATTATATATATATTTTTTTTTACATCTCTTGTATAAGGCCTTTAATCTCTAGATGCAAGGCATTGCTATTAAAATATCCGTGCATGACTGTCAGGCCAGGGAGAGGGAGTATATCCTATATCAGGTGTGCTGGGGGTGGGGAGGCACTTTCAAGACTTGTTTCAAGTTCAGCTCCACAAACACTTATTGAGCAGCTATCTTGTGTGCATACAGTGGCCACTGCCTGGGCACTGTCACAGCTGTCACTTGGTTCTTTGGCATTATCCTTGCTCTTCTCCCATCCCCTTTCCCATCTTCCCATTTCCTTGATGCCGTTACCACTCATCACCCTTGTTCTCTTGTGCGTCTTGCCTGGACTAGTTGGATCATACGCGAGAAAGTTAAGGATATAGGGATCACCTAAAAAGACATTCTTTGCTTGTGATCATTACTTATGACCATTACTTAAAGGATTATGTTAGTAATCAGTGAACCTGAGGATAATTACTCACTTCCACTAAGAAGAATCAATTCATCTGTTGACCTCCTGTCTTCAAGTTCTTCCAGTTCCTATACCACCATCATAGTATGTCAGATCGTCGTGTTGGAAGTCTGTGGCATACATTACCTTTGGGATCACTGATATTTTAGAGAATGTAGACACAGATCATCAATTCGTCAGTGCTATGAGCATCCAGCAGAGACCCAGGCAAATGAAGCTTGAACTTAAACATTTCCCTTTAGGGATTGCTAATTTACTGGTCCATTATAAAAGCTCAGATAAAAGTATCATCTGCCTTTCTTTTTTAATGTGTACATCACTGATTTATTTACATCCCTAAAGAATGGTGAATTTGGTATATTCCTTTAGAAGAAAATCTGGGGCCCCTGGGTGGCTCAGTCACTTAAGCGTAAGACTCTTGATTTGGGCTCAGGTCATGATCCAAGTGTCCTATAGTCGAGCCTCATATGGGGTTCCACACTTACCAGGAAGTCTGCTTGAGATTCTTTGCCTCTCCCTCTCCTTCTCCTCCTCCCCCTACTCATGCATATGCATGCACTCTCATGCACTCTCTCTCTCTCTAAAATAAATAAATCTTGGGGCGCCTGGGTGGTTCAGTCATTAAGCATCTGCGTTCAGCTCAGGTCATGATCCCACAGTCCTGGGATCAAACCCCACATCGGGCTCCTCTCCCTCTCCCCACTGCTTGTGTTCCCTCTCTAACTGTGTCTCTCTCTCTCAAATAAATAAAATCTTTTTTAAAAACATTGAAGAACATCAAGTCTAGGGGAAAATACACACTGTGTCTAGTTGAAATCCATAGCTGCCACACATGAAAAAATGTGGGTCAAAGTAAATATCCTTTATAAAAATAAATAAATAAATATTTTTAAAAATAGAAGAAAATATACCCATGAATTCTGAAACTTCTTTTGTTTGAAAAAGAAACCATTATAAGTAATGATTTCAGAGCTCT